TGATTAAGTCCCGAATTAAAAATCAAATACTGTGTGAAAATCGTGAATGTTTAAATCAAAGTACACTCTTTTGTATCGAAATTAGCAATCCTTTCGTGTTTATTGGTCCATGATAGAACGTAAGATGATTTTTTTGTTTGATAGTAGTTGTACTATTTTTTTTTTGTAAATTTATAAAAATGATCGCAAAGGTAAGGGACTGTTTATCGGTTTATTTGACACTAAATGTGCAAAATCGGTAACGCTCTATTACTGCGTAAATTTAACTGATAATATTTTGCTCTTTTTTTAAAACGAAATTTAAATAAATTACTATTTTTATATTTTTAGTCATAGACAAAAATGACGCTTTACTCAACTAAGGCATTCCCTCGATACACGTTTATATTGTCACGTGTACATGTTCTCCAGTTCGAATGGTTTTATTGGTAATATTTATAGCTATTCGATCTTACAGTAATCTATACAATAAATAGTTAATTCGATACCTCCAATGACCACTACGCCAATTAAATTTTTTGGTCATCTCTGTTTTTATTTTGTTTTTTAGTTTCTTTCTTTTTTTTCACAAAATTACTTTTTTGTTCCTTGTTTTTGTCATAAAATTCGAAAAGCATAATATTAGTAATTAAATTAGGCTGTTTAAATTAAAAATAAAATTAGCGAAGTGTTAATTGGAGGTATAGATTTATACCAACAAACGTAACATTTAGTGGCGGATTACGGTTCATGTCTATAATTAAGTCATTATCTATATCAACCCTTTCATGGACAGTACTTACATAGTATCGCATATAATAAGGTCAGTACTTTTCTTGCCGTAGTGCTTATATTGATTTAATATAAAATGTTCAATGTATATACAGTACCAGGCTGTGAAAAAGGCCCATCGGGAAAATCCGGGAGCCACGAACATTTCCGAATGCTGTTGCCGCGTCTATAACTTATTGGATTGACGTATTTATGACAATTTAATAAAGTTTCTTTTTTTATATTAATAACTTTGCCTACGCACTTAGCCAATGAAAGTGCTGGGAAAGCAGAATTACAGATAATGGAAGAGGTACGGAATTTGGATGAAAAAGGATATGGAAGGTTGGGTGAGTGGGTATTTCGTTGTCATAAATAAATCAGTGAATAACAGGATAACAATAAGACAAATTACAGCGTTCGGATATATTCGTAGATTCCGAATTTTAACCCGATACGCAATATATATGACCTGATAGTAAAAATCATTGAATTTTGTCAGAACGTTGTTGTTACTTGTCTTTGGTGAAGTATGGTAAAGCAGTAGGCGACAACAAAGAAAGCACTTTGAATTCGCACTTTAAAGCCCGTAGTTGGATTTTGAGATCCATACAGTTAAACGTGGTACCACGTACTTACGTAATTACGGTAAACGCTGTTCTGTCCTAGAATGAGTACATAGTTTTGATTTAACCCAACCATCGATAAAGGTAAAACTAGAAGATATTTCCAAATTATGTAAAATGTTATCTTGAAGTCTTGAATTTATATACCAATAAGGACTTCACGTGTTAAGAACTTGGCCTGTGTACTTTGCCGCGGTTAGATGAAAGGGCGCTTGCGACAAAAGCTCAAAACTGAAAAAGTAATGTTTAAAGAAACCAAATTTAAAAAATATCCGCGTAGGAAAGAATGAAAATAGCGAAAAATAGGTCTTTTTTTCATGATCACGGCAGTATGCTTAACAAAATAAAAAAAGTCACATACGCCCTTACAACTAACAGCGACAGTACTGCCAAGCGTGTACACACTGAACATTCAATGCAAATTTGTCAACGATAAATAATAATAAAAAAATTTTTAGCTTCAGCATAGTCCTGACCAGTTCGACTCCAAAACTCAATTAGAGACATGAATTTTTTTTTTATAATAAAACTATAACCAAGTTCCAACATCAATTTCCAGCTATCCTTCCTGTGTGGACATTAAAGTATCAAACACTTCTGAACCTGGCATAACAGCACCACCTTCAAAGTAACTTGAAAAGTTGAATATACTCGACTCCTGTCTCACGTTATCCGTTGAATTAAATTGAGCTTTATTTCTATGCAATGGAGTAGCATTTTCGCTTAATGATTTCTTTTCAAGAAGAGCTTCATTTAAACACTCGGTATCTGTCATCTTTTGGTTGTTTACTGGCTCGTATAACGCAGCCTCCTTTGTGGATAGATTTTTAGTTTCATTATAAGGATTTGTTAGGTATTCCGCGTATAATTCGCTCTGTTCTACGTCTTTCATGTCGTCTAGAATATCAAGTATCGTGTTTTTGATTGGAGAAGACGTTACTTGAGGAGATGCAGGCACTGCGACTAGTGATGCGTTTTGTAAGGGCTTCGTTTCTATTTGCGTCGCTGAAGTTACGTTTGTTTCTTGTGGTACGATTATTGGGTCGGTTTTTACGGGTTCATGAAGAGCTTCGGTTTTTTCCGTCACGTCACTTTGCGGGTATAGAGTTGGTATTTGTGACTGTAGGGTAATGCCGATTGGTGTAGATATCATCTGAAAAAAAGTATGTTTTTTTTAGGCCTTTTTATACTTATACATCGAGTGTATAACCAGAAATAGAGACGTAAGGTCGTTTAATTTGTTCGAAAACTATTCTGCCAAATCATTACGGTGACAACTGCGCTTCGATTGGTCAGCCCGAATTCAAAACTATTGATGGGTGTCATCAATTGTTTTACTTCAAATCGACCACTATTGCTATAATGGACGAAAATTTAAAAATGACATATTCAATATTTAATTACCGATGAAATGTGATTCCGATTGTCTTGTAATAAGATGTTTTCCTGTTTTTCCCACACCACCGAATGGAACAGGCCCCATTGTTGGAGATATTATCTTTATTACAATAAATACAGAATAGGAAATGAAACTATTTATCCGGATTTAATTGCGTATATTTGTTTTTTCAAACAAACCGACGTTTTGGGCCCTTTACAGGTCCCATGGTCACGGTTGACTGACATGTTCGGGACCCCGAAACGTCGGTTTGTTTGAAAAAACAAATATACGCAATTAAATCCGGATAAATAGTTTCATTTCCTATGTGTAACAATCGCGAAAACCTAATAACTCGATAAATACAGAATATTTTTAGAATACATGGTACACACAGGTCAGTTGTTGGCTCTGTATTATTTCAGCTTTCTAATTTGTGATTTTAGCGTTGATATAAGGCCAATTTGCCTGATGAGTTGCCAGTGATGGATGGCCCTTATTTCGTCTCTATTTCTGGTTATATACTCGATGTACTTATACATAAAGATAAGTATTTAAATGCCAAAGAGCAAGAGATTTATAAAAACTAGATTACACAAAACATCAGCAAGAAAGACAGATAAAACATAAAAAATAAAAAGAACAAAACCATTGACTTACAAATAAATGGACGACGGGTCTAATACAAAAACCACGAAAAAAATGTCCCAAGTCAACCTATTCGAAATTTAAATTGTAATGTCATCGCAGTATCGCGCTGTCAGTAGAATAAATGAAGACTAAAGCGGAGTGTCGCGCTCTGTATACGATTTTAGCGCCTTACAAGTGCGGACACTTTTTAGCGCGGACCCGACGTCCATATAATTGTAAGTCAATGAACAAAACAGATTATTAATCATATCGAATTCAGTTAATTCGTGTATTTAAATCCATCGAAAATGTATACTTCTTTTTATTAATTTTGTTCTATTAGCATTCTATTACTTTTTTTTATATTACTCTCTATGTTTATTACCTCTAATATTTTCACTTGACTCCAAGGTCATAAAATAAATAATATAAAAAAGTTATCGCCAATCATGTGATGTGTCAAAGTGACGTTTAGTTATTTCCCGCCCTTTTTTTAAATTTAAATAACAAAAAAAAATTAAGTAACTAAGTATGGAACTCGGAAACGACGACGGTATCACAAAAACCCAGACCCGAGACAATATTCTCTCCCAATCTATGCACATTGACCCTGGACCTCAGAGATGGCGACGTAATGAAAATCGGTATGCAAGCCAATCGACAATATATATATACTTAAACACAAAATAAATACGGAATGATCTAATAATTTGTTATCAAATACACTCAATGCGTGTACCAGGTTCATGTTTTATAAATTAGTACTCGCAAATGGTACCTGCACAGATCGCCGTCTATGCTGCAATAAATTCAATTTGTATAATTTTCAGAGATCGAAACTGACAGAGCATATCTACCTAAACTACAAGAAAGTTATACACATACAGTGGTTAACACCTCCCTCTGAAATCTCGGAATTTTATTTTATTTTTTAATGTGTAACTAGATATTACTTTACTACGGTATATTTAGAACTTTGTCGTTTAAGTAGAAATTTAACTATTGTAGCATTCTCTACAAGGTATCCTTTAATAAAATGCCCTTTTTCTTCTTCTGATTTTATTCAACTCGATGATAAGTGGTCTGTATAGATTTTGAATGAAATTAATGAATTTTGATTATGTTCTCAATTGTGTCTTGCTTGCCTAATTAGAATGTAGTAGGATTCCTATTATTATTGTGGTATCTCCCAAAACGTGCTGGTGCAATCAATGCGCCACGGGCGTTCCCGACCAATCCGAGCGCGCAAAATCCACTCTATATGTATTACTACTTGTAGTTTAAGTAAATATTTAGTTGGCCTAGTAGTAATAAATAATTCCAATTTTCAACACATACCTCATTCAAGGGCTGCAAAAGCACCGAAGAGGTCAACCCGGCCTGGTCGTACAAAGGATTCCTAATCGGCACCATGCCACTCACTGGAGTCGGGGCTACGATGTGTGACGTCATCGGCGGTGGCGTCTGGCCCATGTTTACCGGGGAATGGGCCATTTGAGATAACATAGGCAGTGATGTTTGCACTTGAATGGGACGATGATTTTGGGTCAATACGTTACTTGTCAAAGGTTGGTAAATATTCTGAATGGTTTGAGGAACTATCATCGGATTTTGGTGATTTGGTATTTGACCCAAAATCTGAGTTGGTGAAGTTGTCATCGGCGGTGTCTGGATCTGTGCGTGTGGCGGTTGGCTTTGGCCTGGTGGAGGGATAGGAAGGACGGTTGGCGTACCGGTGAGGCCCACGGGGATCAGGGTGGGTAGCGTAGGGGGTAGGGAAGGGTGCATGTGGCTTGGCAGACTGGCAGGTGGTCGGGCGTTATCCTGCACTGAAATAAAACGAAAGAACACATTGGTTTTAAATTGTTACCAATCATCGATTTACTTATTCTATTGAATATTTTACACACAGACACATTTAGCTAGGGACGAATGCTAAGTCAGATTATAAAACCAAACTTTTGTATTTAAATAAATAAGAATTAGACAAGTAGTATGAATATTAACACCGACTTAGTACAGCCTCAGTAGAGTTTTTTGCGAAGAGTTCCTCCAGGGAAGTACTGCCACCTTACCTATTTCTGCCGCTAAGTAATGTGAGCATTACTGCGTTTCGGTAGAAGGATGCTGATGAAACTACTGGCACATGGGACTTGTCAACTTATGTTTCAGGGTGACGGGTGCAGTGGGAGTGCCTCTCAGATCTTTACAATTTGAAGCTCCGAGTGACACTCCAACTATTATGGACAGGCGTTTCGCTTACAGCAACGCACACGACTTGCTCGTCCCGTCCTTTTGTACCATAAAAAATACAGTCACATGGGACTTGTCAACTTATGTCTCAGGATGACAGGCGCAGTGGGAGTGCCCTTCAGATCTTTGCAATTTAAAGCCCGGAGTAGCACTGTGTTATATGTATACTATTTAAAAAAAATAACATGTTGCACCTTGGTTTTGTCTGTTGAACTGTATGTAATATACCTTCAATATGTTTGTATGTCTAATGTTTGATCGGACGCTGCGAAACTATACTTATTTTGTACATGTCAACTGCCATATAACCTGTGTTTTCACAAATAAATGAATTGTTTTTGAAAACCAAATTCACTTTTTACATTTTCCGATAATGCAGAAAGTTAGAAACTAAAAAGTTATTTGTTAAATTAAAACTTTTTTATGATCGCAGGTGGTTTCATTATACCAACGGTGTGATATCATGAGTGCAAGTTGAGGCAACAATTCTGCTCTCCTTGTCATAACTAACGCATTTGCATTTCCGTAACTTTCGAGATTAGTTGTAAGTTTTTTTGTAACTCAATTACGCTGATTTTGCTTAACAATAAAGCTGATAATAAACAACATATAAAAAAAATCGATTGGAGGAGGTTTTAGATCTTGCTGATCCCAGTATGTTGAAAACCCAATTTCGCTAAAATGTCGATTGAGTTAGTTATGATGAGGGCAGAATTGATCTGGCATACAAAAGAAGTTAAGGATACCTTGAGGGAATAACTCGTCCTTGAGGTTAGGCAGGAACTCTCCGATCTTGTCCCACGTGATGTACCACAAATCGTTGTATCCATCACCGTTGTTGAAAATCTGAAAGAAGGATGGCGAAAGCTGACCCAAAATCAACGAAGTAGCGTTCATGAACTTTGCTAGTATAATTTTACGTTTTAGTTTAAATAAATAATAAATAAATAACGCACACACTCAACATAGGGGCGCACTAGGGAAACCCTGAGTCGCGGGTGCCATGGACACACGCATAGACAACCACAAATTACACCCAAACTCACGAGAGAAGTAATTGTAGGCCATACAACTATTTCTCCTGGCCCGGGAATCGAACCTGGGACCTCTGCTTGGCAGTCCGGCATGGTAACCGTTTGGCTACGGAGGCAGTTAAAGTTAGTTTATGCCTAGTTATTAATATATTTTCGTATATTTTTAGAAATCGGGCATAAACAAATTGCAAAACATTGTATTTTATAATAGATGCAAGAACACAACGCAATTAATTCAGTTCGACCATAGATTAGGTAACTTTCTTGTACGTACGTCTCATTTTTAGCATGACTAAATGTTTACCTACCTAAAGTATTGGTTATTTTATAGTACACACATAAAACATTAAAGCTATAAAATACCTAATCAAACAATCAATTATACAATAAGACATAAAGTAAAAAATAAAACACAATGTGACAAGAATGTGTAGACAACATTTAAATGATAGATACGAAAGTTAGCAAATCAATGTCATTTTGAGATTGAGAACAGTGTGACCATTTGTGGCAGATTTAAATGTTCCTGCTGTTGTGAGTGTTGTTCCGTACGTATACGTAGTGAGTTTCTGTAATTGGTTTTTGTACTGCCTACAACACATTTGTAAGATAAATATAAAAATGCTGTAGAACTTTGTTGATTAAATAAAATGAAAAATAAAATATCTCTTGGCATAAATAGAAATTAATACTAAAATGTATGCCGTTGGCCAGATGACGTAATAGACGTGTGACGCTGGGTGAATAGGCGTCCTTACCCTGACAGAGTCCATGACGAGGATCATGTTCTTGAGCGACTCCAGCGCTGCTTCCGTCAGGGGGTCGTCGGGCGGCGCAGCGATCAGAGCGCGCTGTACCTCCACGATGCGCACCCACAGCGCGCCGAACGTCGGCCGGGGGGACAGCGCTGACAGGTGCTGGAGGAATACCTAGCGGGCCCGGAAAGGTACACCTTAACTTATTTTATTGCCTAACAAACCTATTTTATACAATACACATCTCTAAGCAATTTAGATTATCACATAGTTCCCTAAAAACCCGCTAGATGGCATTAAACCATTTTATCTAAATTCTGCATCGCGACACTAAGATTTTTCCCTCGAATGGTGACTATCTCGCCCCTCCTACGTAAAGGATCGTATGTCGAAATTGCCAAGTTTACAGGGGAGTATTTGAGAGTTCTGAATTCACTCGTTACTCACATAGAGTGATCATCTAATAGATCATCTAACCGATATCTAGAATTTTATCTATGTGAGTGACGAGCTTTGCCGAATAAAACTGAGAAATGCCACAGTCACGTATTATGTTTATTTAGTGAATTCAGAAGTTTAAAACGCTCCCCTGTAAACTTGGCAATTTCGACATACGATACTTTACGTAAGAGGGGTCGACTAAAGAATTTTGATTACGTGGCAGTTGGTGCCTCCACCTGCAGCGGAGAAGAGTAACACCTCGGGAGTTTGAAACATCCGTACTATTGATTCGTGTATACGAGTTCAGACAGTTCTTGTGGAGACGACTGCCTAAACATATTTGATAGTTTAAATACCGCCGCTGGTTATTGTTAACCTGGCATTTAGTAAATTATTTAAATAAAACTTGGAGCAATGGACATGAAGATTTTACCCAGTTTGGTTACGTCATCCACACTTCAAAGGACCTCCTCTACAACTGAATATTATGCAAATTATTTCATTATACTTAACTAACCAACATGAAACCATAGTTAATTAAAAATAATTTTATTTCATTTCATTGTTTTCCATATACAACCGACCTGTGCCCATACCATACTGACTACAGACAGACAGTTATCGCTAACGACAGCGTAAAACGTCTGTATACAAAATATTGTTTCCTCTTGTGACCGCCAGAGGAGCTGAATAACTTGCTGTACAAAGTTGTGAAATAATTTACGCGGTTGCTAGCAACAACTGTCACGGTCAACTCGTGGTGGAGGCTGTCGCGAATTATGTCGCGATTTAGTATTAGTTTTCTAATATCCAGCATTAATAAATTTACTCTGTTACGATACCGAAGAGGAGGGAACTAACACGGTAGTCCAGGCATCTCAAATTCTGAAGATGAGATATCAGGCGTCTGCTGGGAGTGCACTGGTTGGTCGGCACTACAGTTGGTAAGTTTGCACAATGTTTATTACTAACTTAGACACAATATTTGTTGACTAGACAACTTGAAGATAGAGTATGACGAATTAGGGGGTCTACCCTCGATTTCCGTCCGACATCCGTCCGAAACAATTACTGCCAAATAAGCAATACTAGACCAAATGAAAAGACGCGTGATGCGAATGAAGCTTCATACTTGATACTTGTCTTTTAATTTTGTCGAATATTACTTATTTGACAGTAATTGTTTCGGACGGATGTCGGACGGAGATCCAGAGTAGACCCTCAATAACAGAATTAGAATGAGACCCGCCATTTGTACTAAAGGTTTAAGGGGGCATGATGCGGTGGTAGAGGAAGGGCTGTAGGGGTTTGTGTAGAGGCCTATCATAGGGATCAGAGGATTCCACTAGTTCAGATCCAGAGGATCGATATGACGTCAACGACCTATTAGGACAATTATAATAGTCCTATGAAGTAGAATGGAGTTAGAAGAAGTGTACGCGAAAAAAGATACTCTATTTAAAGGCTGTTGTGATAGATAGAATGTCGCATATGTAATTTACTTTAACCTCCTTAGGCGTCTAACATCCACCAATTGGGGAGCAGCGCCAGATGTCCTACGAACTATGGGTTTAGCATTGTGTTTCTCTGCTGGTGAATACGCGTGTCCGGTGTGGCATAGGTCTGCACATGCTGGACTTGTTGACATAGCGCTTAATGAAACAGTACGCTTGATCCGGGCTGTCTCAAGCCAACTCCCCTCAATATGGTATATCCTCTGGTATTGCACCACCATACGTGCGTCGGGATGTAGTATGCTCCGCGGAGAAGTACAAACAAGAGACTGACAGTCGACACCCTTTATATGGCCACCAAATTCCCCGATCTCGCCTCAAAAGCCGTAAAAGCTTCCTGCGCACCACAAAGGCTACGAGTGACCATCCAACTGTCACTAGGTGTGCATTGTGGAAACGGAAAAATCCCCCACCACCAGGTTTCATCGTACCTCAAGATCAACTGCCACCAGGTTGTGATCTGCGATGGCCCGCGTGGAAGTCCTTAAATCGCCTTCGCACTCAGGTAGGACGCTGCAGAGACACGATGTGTAAATGGGGTTTCAAGGATACTAGTCGAACCCAATGTGACTGCGGTGCCCCAACGCAGTCCATGCAGCACTTGCTGTTGTGCCCCTTGTGTCCTAATACCTGTACGAGGGAAGATCTCTACGCGGCCACGGACAGCGCAAAGTAGCAACGTGCTATTCAGGGTCAATACAGTCCTAAAATAAAGAATTTACTTTATGATTGAACCTTAGGCGTGGCGACAGAGGCACTGAACTGGCGACGTCATACCTTGCACATAATAGTGTTGGCTCTGGACGTGGTGTCAGCCCGCCTGGGCAGCTGCTCGAGCAGCGGGAACAAGACGCTCTGGAAGCACGCCTCCCAGCCGCCGCCGCCCATCGCCGATAGCCCGGGGACCAGAAGCGCGCGCTGCAGGTACGTGATGGCGCTGTTCGCCACCTGCCAAGTCCAACCAAATTAATATTATAAACTTAGAATAATAACGCATAGAATGATAGTTTCATATCAAACGAACTGTCACAAGTGAGGCAAAAATCAAATTCATGTAGGCTAGTTTTAGTAGTAGGTTCATTTTCGGTTTTTGTGAATATTTATATAAAAATACAAGTTGAAACGCGTTACTTCCTTGTGGAATGTGATGTTAGTATCTATTTTATGTTTGTCTGACGTATTTTTACACTCATTTACCGCACATTTCGTCATTTTTAGTTAAAATTCTTGATCTGTTCGCGGTGCAAGTTGACTTTGAGCACTGACGGCCCGCCCGCTCGTGTAGGCCCATTGGGAGCGCTTCAATTTGCCTCACTTAGTGTGTGCGAACTAGGTTTCTATGCGTTATTATTCTAAGATTATAAATACGAAAGTAACTCTGTTCGTTACATTTTCATGCCTAAATCTTGGTCCAGCAATCAAATTTGACGAATTTCGGTATATAGATGAGACCTATAGTCCATTTCAATAGGGCTGAGTTTTGTGACATTTACAATTCCAACGTTACACGCATACTATTGTTAACTAATCTCTCAACCAGGTTATAAAAATAAATAGTAAAGAAGGATGGCGACGTCTTGTATTAGAGTTAAATAAAAAATATAATTTAAGTTTTATAACAAGATTACGTACTGTAAATAATTTAAACGCTAGTTGTCCTTCTCTTGGCACGCCACAACCCAAGTGTACAAGCGAGACAGCATGCGTTTCTCAGTGTCGCTACGCAACGTCGTTTAAGTACTAATATCAACAGATACACTAATAAATTTTGATAATTCCCATACTTGTTTCCGTCTATCAGTGCAGAACTGAGCGATTCCTTGCAAAAGTGGTTTCCATGCCACTTCCCATAGGTCGTAATCTTCTGCACCTAGAAAAACAATTGCATTGTTACTTGAATTTTTTTTTACGTTTAAGTACATAATTTACTGTCGTTACTCAATTTTTGTAACCTTTTGTAACCCAATGAACGTTTCTGCGCGGTTTTTATTTCTCTTTTTTTTTCGTTCTTATTTTTTTTGTGCGTAAAAAAAATGAAAGCCAGAAATTACGAAATTAGTACATATTATGCTTGTATTATGACCTTGTCCTTCTGCTTCTTCACGCCACCATTTGAAAATTTGCGCTGTACGGCTGTGTAGGGTGTGCATCAAGTCTAGAAGCTGTAAACAAGGAAAACCTGTAATTATAATAACGCATACGGGGTATTAAAAAAGATCGTCTCTAATTTCACATTGCGACTTTGCACTTAAAACTCAACATTCCCTATACATATCCAAGTATTTATATTTAAAGTAATTATACTCATAATTGGGAGCTACC